TTGAGACCCTGAAATTGTGTGTAAATGAGGCAGAAAGTCAGATCAGCAACCTGGGACCTGGTCACAATTTTCGTGATGCCATATAGCAGCAGGGTCTACCATTAGACAACACATTATGCTTCCAATATCTTCCCAGGCGGTTTGGTTGGTTAGGTTCAAGACTGTTTTTCCGGTGGTTTTGAAGTTTTGAACACTTTTTACCTTCATCTTATTTTAGTTACTACCTAGATTCAGAGGTAGGAGGGAGGAGCTTATCTCAGAAACTATTGATTTGCGCTAGAAATGAAGGTCAAATTCGTTCGAAATACATCAACATCCATCGGAAAAACATTGTTTCAACTTCTTTTGAGTTTAGTGGGAACAAGTGAAATTTACTCTAACATGTCTTTCCTGGGAATACTTCCACCATTGTGTTCAGAAAAATGTTAGTAAGTATGACTTACCCCCGTGGCCGTCGTAGCATTATTACTTCTATAGACCTAGAGTTATTGTGCTTCCCAATCCTCAACTCATCGGCTGCAAATGTAAACACAAGTGGCCGCAGGACTAAAATATTTGTTTCGAGTAAATGGGTTATTTTTTATAGCTTACCAATTTTCATTTTCACAACTAATATGCTTATCACCTATTCGGAAAGTCGGCATGTTCTTTTCTACGTCTTCCATTGTCCACGGTTAGTACAGGAAGAAACTGGAGTCATTGGAGTACCAGGAGAAAACAAGCGGTGGTTGAGAGAACACCCTTCTTACATCTGGCCAAGGGGGCTTCTGAATATATCGGAACCTGCACCAGTGTTAGTCAAGTCTGGTGCCATCACACAATGCTCTTCGGCAGATTGTCCCAAGAGTTCACAATACTCACTCCCCAAAAAATTTCCCTCACAGTTTTCTGGACTTGCGGCTTCAACCTCGAGTTGTGACCACTTGTGGGGCGGACGTCCGACACCAGGTACATTTGACCGAGAGTACGCCCTGAGATGTTTATACACTTCGATTTGGTAAATGAGGTTCCGTAGAGCAGGCACAAGTCTGGTGGCCCTCCTTTAGATATTTTCAATCAATTGACAGTCTCTAGCATACCTCGGGGACCAGAAGGGATGACAATACTGTAGTGGATTTCTCCCCTACAAACGCTGTTTGTCGCTGCCTAGCCGACCCCACCAATTCCCCAGTGTATGCCTCGTGGTCTAGGTCAACCAGCGCCGCCATTCATCACGGAGCGGGGGTCAACTGCTAAGCCACGCCTACCCCCGCTATTTAAGACCTGACCTCGTGGGGATCTCTCTTTTTCTACCTACAGCCGCAGCCAGCAACACCTCCTCCTCCGCCGCTGCCTGGCGGCCCTCGCTCCTCCTCCTCCTGCCTGGCGGTCCTCGCTCCCGCTGGCGAGCATGGCGACTCACAAGCTGGTCCTCCTCTGAGCGTCCTCACCAACCAGCTCTCTCTACATCACGCTTGTAACCATGCTGCCTTCCCAGCACCAAGCTGCACTGTACATCCAATACAACATGTATATAGAGAACACATTGTGAGTTTCCTTTCTCCAACCCATCCTGAGTGAACACCAAACAATCTCATACCCCACAAATGGTGACTCCCGGAGATTCGCACTCACACAGGATGGAGGAGAAACTGATCACTCTCCCAGTCTTCAAGCAACATGGAAGACTGGCTTATCCACCCAGAAGCAGCTCTCATCGGCTCTACAGCTACTGTCTCTACACCGCAGGTCAGACACCCTAGAGCAGCTCTGCTACTCTAAGCAGACAGTCGCTCCTCTTCCGACCCCAGCACACCCGTCCTGCCTCAGACGCCGACCCCGGCCCAGCAGTAACCCCTGCCGCCCCTGATGCGGCCTCTGTTCCTGAGTGCGGACCCACACACCCCTCTTTTCTCCCTCAGGTACTCCCTGCTAATGTCCTGCACCCTGCTGCTGTCGTGGACCCAGCTGCTGTCACGAGCCCTCATCCGCTTCTGCTGACGCAGCCCCTGCTCCTGACCCAGGCCCACACACCCAGCAGGCGCATCTGACGACCTGTACCTGCCGTGAGGGAAGCACAACATTCATCGCCTCCACACACCCTTTTTCTCCCTCTCTTCTCCCACAGATAGTGTGTATATAGACAGTTGTATCCAGCGACCGGCTCATCCACGCCATCGCCGTTGTCTCACATGAGGCATGCACCGCCCGTTCTGCCTCACATGTGCTAAGCAACTCTGCAGACAACAAGTCTCCTACACCGCCTGGAGGGAAGGGGGAGTATTGTAGTGGATTTCTCCCCTACAAACGCTGTTTGTCGCTGCCTAGCCGACCCCACCAATTCCCCAGTGTATGCCTCGTGGTCTAGGTCAACCAGCGCCGCCATACATCACGGAGCGGGGGTCAACTGCTAAGCCACGCCTACCCCCGCTATTTAAGACCTGACCTCGTGGTGATCTCTCTCTTTCTACCTACAGCCGCAGCCAGCAACACCTCCTCCTCCGCCGCTGCCTGGCGGCCCTCGCTCCTCCTCCTCCTGCCTGGCGGTCCTCTCTCCCGCTGGCGAGCATGGCGACCCACAAGCTCACTAGCGTAGCTAGGGCGGTCGGTCCGCCCCGGGCGGCACTTTTGGGTCTGCTCATCACCCATATCTGCAGCTACTGGAGACGTTAATCCATCCCTTTGTATCGGCGGCAAGTTAATCCTTGTCGTGTCTGACCTAACACCTGACCCACATCATCACGGCCACGTCATGAGCTACACCCTTGCTATGCGCCCCCCCCGCCACACACACAACCTGTAACCTGTTGAGGATTAAGGAAACAACTTCAAACAAGTACGCCAGTGAGCTCATGTGGTGTGGGTCAGGTGTTAGGTCAGACACGACGAGGATTAACTTGCCGCCGATACAAAGGGAAGGATTAACGTCTCCAGTAGCTGCAAAACCATGCAGTCTCGGGTCATATCAGTTCATGTACAGCCGACCAATCCACCAGTTACAAGCAATTCACTTCAGTTCTGCACAAGTCTCCATCGTGACAAGACGAGGGGAGGCTAGACGACTTTTAAGTTCTCTTGTGTTTTCGATCCAGTTATTTACTTCGTTGGAAGACATAATACTATAAGGTAAGAAATATTAAAGTATTGGTTAAAAAATATTGATGTGACTTTTGCTGCGGTACTGAGATTAAATATTAAGATTTTGTTTCACAGCATTGCGATTTTATACTAAGACACTATCCTCACTGGGGTACAGACAAAAGCCCCCCCGACAAAAGCCACCCAGACAAAAGCCCCCCAGACGAAAGCCACCCAGACAAAAGCCCCCTACTTTGATCGGGGTGGCTTTTGTCTGACAACAGTAAGGGCTTTCAAAAGTTACGGACATAATTAAATAGTTGAGGGTAAAATATACTGTTCTTCTCTGTGGTTAATTATTGGTTAGGTTAGGGTTAGGTTAAGTTAGGTTAGGTTGGGTTAGGTTAGGTTAGGGTTAGGGTTGTCAGACAAAAGCCACCCCGATCAAAGTAGGGGGCTTTTGTCTGGGTGGCTTTCGTCGGGGGGCTTATGTCAGACATCCATTTTCACTGTACTCTGAGTCTGTAATTTTAGATTAAGTTGCTACTTTTTACATTTCCATTGTATTACATTGATACTAGTGTCATTATACCGTGATTTTAGATCAAGCTGTTTGCTACTTCCTATCTGTCTCCTACTATTCAGAACGAGTTTATAGAAATTTTGGGAGAAAACGTAAGAAGCAAAGTCATCAAGCAAGTAAAAGAAGCAAAGTACTTTTCCATGATATTCGACAGCACTCCTGATATTTCACATAAGGATCAAACGAGCCAAGTTTTACGCTATGTTATGATCGATGGAGATAAAGTGAAGGTTGTGGAATCATTTGTCGATTTCATTGAAACAAAAGGTAAAACCGCCGAGAATATTTCAATGATGATTTTGGGAAAATTAGAGAAAGACGGCACACACTCTAGCTACGCCACTGCTAGTAACTCCTTAGCACTGCACTGTACAACAATATATATACAGAAAACGCATTGTGAGTTTCTATTCTACCTCATTCCTGAGTGTGAGATATCTACATGTACGTATGTTTGTGTGCCCATACAAAGAGAAAATAGACAACTAAAGAGAATTGACAACTGGCCACATACAGTACGCTACATCATGATGGAATAGATAAACAAGGATGTTAAAGAATGAAAATAAAAATAATCGAAATGAATAAATAAATAAAATATTGTAATATGTGGAGGCCCCTGGGCAGCTGCCCACTATGCCCACTCCTGAATCCGGCCCTGGTTAGACCGCCCAAACGCCTAGTAAGCTGATAAGGGGCGAATATGATAACAAAACATATTTTTGTGCTCTTCTTTGCGTTAACGTTGCTATCATATTCCACAAACCACTTATTTTCTGTGCTTATATTATTGCATCAAGTTCAGTAATAAAATTAGTAAGATCTTGCTTCATACTGTAAAATGTGTTTACTTGGCAGTTGACGGCACTTGTTTTCTACTGGGATGACCCTTTGTATAACACGTTGAAGACCCCATTAATGCCTGTGGTGTTTGTCTCTTATATCATCACCTCCACTATAAACTTTTATCAACTTCGTTATAGTGACCTCGTGATGAACTTTCATTTTGTAATTTTATACTTGGCATCCGTTTTCTTGTTATGTCAAACTTTGTTTTAATGTGGAGATTATTCTCGTCATCTATATTTTAGAAAAGTACATTCTATTTATGCTTTAAAATACATAACATATGTTCATCCTTACTTATATTGGAATTTGGGTGTGAGAAAGGACGAATGACGTTCGATATAGTCGCATTTCTAAACGTAACTTTCAAGTAAACATTCTTAATTTTTTATTGAAAATGACTGAAGTTTAATCATAGATTATAAGTATTTATCTATCAACAATCAATATTTTAGATTTCTAGGGTGTGGGAAGATTATTTTATTCAATTGAAATTCACATTTGTCATCAGAAATACACCAAAACAAGAACGCAAACAACAGTTGGCAGCCTACAAAGACAGCAGCGCAATGAAGTTTTAGCACCCTGAAAGGTTGCCGTTTATGCAAAGCCTGGCAACAAGTGTGGGCGTAGTGACCTCTGGTGTGGGCGTGGTAACCTCGGGAGTACGGACTGGAATAGCTGGACTGATGAGTTTAGCAGCACAGGGGGCGTCAGACCCCTCCGCCAGTGGGGGGGTCTTCTCTGTCAACTTTAACCAGGACTACTCGTAAGTTTACCTACTTATAAATGTTAACAGTTAATATTCATTGTCACTTCATCTTTTATCTGCTGTTATAGTGTTAATGTTATGAGGTTCAAGAAGTTGGCATCGTAGACACTACAGCTGTTATGGTTTTGTTTACTAGGTTTGAAAAAATATGAAAAAATATATTAGTCATATTGTGGCCATTCTTTGATTTTTTTCATAATTATCACTTTCTGTGTAATGTGATAATTTGATGAAGGTTAAGGAGAGGGTTGCCACTTCCTTACTTAGCATTTTAAAGGAGCTATACTAAATTTCTGGGTAATAATTTACAATAGTGACTTGCTGGAAGGAGCTACATTAGGAAAAATTCTGTTGGCAAATTTATTCCTTACCTCTCGAATATCCTCATAAGGTTGGAGGAATTACAATTTACTGACTTTTGTTTTTCTTAACTGAAACATTTAGATCTTCCTATTCTGAGCATTTTGAAACCCATATATACCAGGTGGAAATATGATAATAGCAACAATTGAATTTAATTGATTTTACGTACTTTTTGGTCTTCGTCTATGTTAGGAGATGTTATCTTCGTGAAAGCGAGTTAATTGTGAACATGTTTACATCACGCATGCATGACGTCTTCGTGTCATGACCAATGATGTATCGATCTCATCGCGCGATTTTTTTTCGACCAATCAAAATTGAATTTTTTCAAAGGGAGCAGCCAAGGTATGGATTTGAAGGATTTAAATTTCACTGACCAGTGTGATAATGGCCGTGGTAGAGGTTGGGTGTGAATCTTGCTCCCACGATTATTTTAAGTTTATTGCCGAGTTTTACGAGAAAGACGATCAAGCTATCCAATTCCTACATAATCACGGTGTTCTCCCTACATCTGTTGAGTGCCCGCACTCTAAATTGCCTTGTAAATTTAGAAAGAACAAGCATCAGAGATTGACCCTGAACCTATCCCTGGTCCTTCCGCTTCAAATTAAGGTATTGTACTTTTGGACATGGGGCGCCCCAAAGTTTAAGACTACTGAAACATTTAGATCTCATTATTTTTAGTCTTTTGAACCTCATTTATATTAGTTGGAAATGAATAGGATAGGTTAGGTTAGCTTAAGCTAAACCTACCGGGGGTCTGGGGGCGGAGCCCCCGTCTAGGGGTTAGGTAAGGTTAGATTTGGTTAGGTTAGACAACTCGTTTTCGTGTTTTCCCCCACCCAAAACCCCGATTCCTAGGCTCTCCCTCATTATCGATGGGGGGGGGGGACAAGTAATTTCCGCCAAAATACACTTGAAAAACATATTGGTTAACCACAAGGGACTCATATCCGAAAGTAAAAATTTACCCAATTTTGTTATGGTAAATATATGTTAGGAAGATGTGCTCCACTAGATATAATAGTTTAGGGAGATTTGCATTTAGAATTTTTGGTCTTGTCAGGGCCGGCCTTAGGAGGTGCGGGGCCCAATTGGGAAAAATTTTGGTGGGCCCCAGGTTCCCAGCCAAGGTCTGTAGAATCATAGAAATATAAATAAAGTCTATCATAGAATTAAATCTCTATGGTAGAATGGAAAGTAATCAAAATGTGCGAGTTAATGGACCAAACAGATCTAAGCTACATTTTAATATAAAATTGCATACATGTAAGCTTACCAAGTAACAAAAAATTTGTAGATTACTTCTGAAAAGTACATAGTTACAATACCACTTGTTTTAGTGACTGTGAAATGATATGGTGTTACATATATATTGCAATGTATTGTTGTGTGTACTTGACGAGCCGAGAGTAGATTACTCTAGCGCGGGGCCCCCTTCGGCGCGGGGCTCCCTTAGGCCCGGGGCCCAATTGGGAGCAATTGGTCCAATTGGCTTAAGGCCGGCCCTGGGTCTTGCATAGGTAATGGTGTCTTTTGTACTGACATGTTTCATATTGGTGCGTTTTCCATAGGATTTTTATTTTGGTTCACATATATTTGTTTTTATCCCAGTAGGTATTTTGGATTTTTTACCATTATCACTAGGATTCTTTTTTAATTAGGAATCGATTTTCTTCTATGGCATTTCCTGCACAAATTTATATTTTTCGAGTACTGCATTTTAAACGTTAAGATCTTCCCAATTACAAACAATATTAGTTGTTCAAAGTGGGCAGGGCTTTGAAATAGAGGGAAAATGTGGGGTAAAATACTAAAAAGATCATCAAACAACCCTTTGAAAACCTTACCTAACCTTTCCTAAAAGATTAAAATTCGCTTTCGAGTTCATGGATCCCCTCCTCATCTGAACACCGAAAACTACATCAACACATTAAACACTGAAAACTAGAATAAGGTAAGTGATTTATAGTTTTAGGATTTTTTTAGGTTAGGTAAGGTTTTCAAATGTTTGTTTGGTGTTCATTTTACTATTTTACCTCACATTTTCCCTCTACTTCAAAGCCCTGCCCACTTTGAATATAAATTTGTGCAGGAAATCGATTCCTAACTAAAAAGGAAACCAAGTGATACCGGTAAAAAAATCGAAATGTCTATTGGGATAAAAAACGAATATAAACTTTTATTTTTTCAAATGCATAAAAAAGAATCTGGTAGGGGAGCAAGAGAAAATGATTCTAAATTTAGTGTAGTAGGCATTACTCCAGAGCCTCTACACATTTGGTGCTTCAGTGCAGTGATAAAAGCCATTTCTGAAACATGTAGGCCCGAATTCTGAACAGTGGTTTGAGCCACGGATTTGAGCTCGACTCGGGCGTGCGAATCGGGATTACTCTATTCGAGATTTCCTGCAGTGGATTTCTCATATTCAGAACATCGGCTTGAACCCCGGATCGGGTAATGTGTTGCATTTTCTTCAATTACGAGCAAGGATTCGAACACTGAAATTCCATATACTGTATTCACATTTCATTTACACCATTACAACAGTCAACCACCATTGAGAGTAATATTTACAAGATTATGGCAGTAACTATGACTCGACGAGTTTTTGCAGAGGAGGAGAAGTCTCTCCTTCCACATAATAAGTTACTGTACTTTTGTTATTATAATTACAATCAAATTATAATGATTTATGGTATACTGCATTACAATGTGGCTGTGTTGTTATATGATAACAAGGAAATTCATAGAGGAAGAACAATTACATAAGAATTATAGATATAATCTGGGACAGGTGTCGATATTCATAACCAAAGCAAGATGAATCAATGCATGGCGTTGTAACCTGGCTAGGTTCGGTTAGGTTAGGTTTCTTTCTGTTCTTTTAACCCCACATTTCCCTTGATTAGTAATGTAAAGAAAAGACTTTCCTTTATTAATACATTAAAATCAAAATGCACTCGGCATTGATTATATTATAATGAAAGTACATCAAAATAGTTATCCTAAATATTGTCGTTCCCCCTTAGGTGCCCCATGGGTGGCAACCAAACAGGGAGATACTACCGCCTGGGAAGATATTGGAAGCATAATGTGTTGTCTAATGGTAGACCCTGCTGCCATATGGCATCACAAAAATTGACCAAGTTCCAGGTTGCTGATCTAACTTTCTGCCTCATTTACACACAATTGCAGGGTCTCAATTGTTTCTCTTACTTTGACAACACAACATACATATATCGTTTCTCAATATTGATCTTTTTTCATTTTTGTATTTCTTTATGGTTCTTTATTATCATTATCATCAGTGTTGTTATTATTATTTAATTTTTAATTTTGTATTTAATATAAATTTTACTTACTTTGAACTAATTATTATTATTATTGTTACTATTACAGTGATCCCTCGGTTAACGAGCGCCTCGGTTAACGAGATTTCGGTTAACGAATTACCTTCCATAAGATTCTTAACTTTGGTTAACAAGCAATCCATTGATTAATTAGTTTTTAACGAGCACCCTTCCACTTTTTTTCACTTGCATTTGGTGGTCCACCAGCTGTAGTATTAGTCCGCCAATACAGTAATCGGTTCTAGGGCTTAAATTCCTTACTATTTTAGTAAATATCAATAAGTTTGTACTATTCAATAATTTTAAAGGTTTTATGTTAATTTTTTTAGTAATTTTAACATAACATAATTGAAGTATAGGAAGCTAGTTTCTTGCGCGCCAAACAGCCTGTCAACACACCATACAGGCGTGAGTCTCTGTATCTTTTCAGTGGAGGTAACATCTTGCTTGAGACTCTCTTCAACTAAATGCTTTTTTTTTGTGTTTCCAAGCAAATTATTGGTCAATTTTAAATTTATTTTACATATTGACAATATATAATGCAGTGCAGTGTTGATTTAAAGAAAATAATCTTGAATTACACCAAGAAAAAAAAAAATTATGGGTGAAATGGTTCCATGGGGTGACTTCTTTTCCACCCCAATGCTTTCTCTTCTCCCTTCTCCTCCACCCGCATTCTAATTCCCATCATCATCCAGGAGCCTTCTACATACACACCTCAAAGTAAGTGTACTTTACTTCCTTTTTTGTTGATTTCAGGCAATTTTCGGTGAGCTGGAACCAATTACCCCAAAACCCATTGAAACAATGGTTTCGGTTAACTAGCAACCTTCTGGAACGAATTGTGCTCATTAACTGAGGGACCACTGTACAGTCGACCCTCGTTAATTCGGACCCCTTTAATCCGGATTTCGGATAAATCGGACGATATCTGAACTAAGCGAGGGACTGTCCGTATCAAATTTCTGGTTCTGGGATTGTTCCAGTTGCAATTCGGGTTGCAATTTCAAATTCTGTGTCATTACTAAGGAATAACGAAGTCTGGTGCACTGCACTCCAAGATTAAGAGAAAACGGAGGACTCAGGCGTCCTGAAACGAGAGAAAACGGACTCCTATGACGGGCACTCAAATAAACATACACATAGCTACATGTTTTGTGGACTACCCACTGTACAGTATCCTTTTCATCACTTTGTAATAAACCTAGTCATGCCAATGTGTGTTTCTGATAATTACCATAACATTATATCTTTAGTGGGTCTGAATGAAAGCAGTTGTAC